CCGGGTCCTCCGGTTTCCTCCCACTGCTAAATTATTGAAATAAAATTAAACCATATGTTAGTCCCGAAATGACTTAGATTGTGTCGAGTGGACGTTAAACCCCATTTCTCTCTCTCACTCTCGCTATTCTGGTGTAAGATCTGTAGCCATTAGCAACACCCTGAATGTTTTCCTTGGGCGACTTTGAATTCAATTCGCGTGTTGTCACAGCACAAATATGCCAACAGTATTGACATGCATTATATTTATTGTTACTTCCAAACTGTGCCATAATATTTTAAATACGTTATGCATTTTATACCTATTAAAGTTATATCGCGTGTATTCATATTATATTTTCATGACATCAACGTGTCTAACAAGTGCGCTTTAGATCATACGGTCGACATTTGAGTCAAGAGGCTGGTTTCGATCACAAACGTGAACGTGACAAGGAGTGGGGTTGTCTGTCCGACCTGGTGGGTAGTCTGTGGGTTCCATCCACTACCGAATACCCCTACGCAGAAGCGAATTATTGAAATAAAATTGAATCATATATTAATCCCGTCGTAGGACAATTCAATCTGTCTTGTAGCTAGTATCACTAACACGACATCACTTTTTTATCTCTAGATGGCAGAAATAAAAGAAAGACGGCTAAAAGACATTATCCTGACTGTAAAACCATTGATAGACCATGGCCAAGATTTAACGATAAGATAAAAAGAATAACGTATAAACTTCAATTAATTTAAGAAAATAAAAAACATCTTTTTTCTTGTTCACCAGGTGTCGCGTCTATCAGACAGTAATCTGGCGGAGACGTAAACCGTGACATTACCTATGTTTAACCAATGATAGTGTTACTGTTTTCAATTACACGACTACTCAGGGGAACCGTAAAATATATCGTACACGTCCCCGTTCTTATTCACCAGACAAATAAATCTTTTAAAACTTCTGTCACCATCTTCTTCTTATGATCAACCAAATATGGCGTCGCTATCGAGGTGTATAATTAGCTATTAAAGGTGGCGCTAAATTGGAGGTTTTTCATCACCGACCGTCTTATCTTCCTCCTTGTGTTTTTAATATTCTGTCGTCTTAAGAAAAAGCACCAGGTTTACAAGCCTATAAATATGTTTTAATGGGGCTTTAGCATTTCAAAGCCTGTAAATTTTATAAATTAGTAGAGGATTTAATATTTTTTCCAGACAATTAATGATAGCCAGAGTTTATTTATAGTCACATAAACTTGATGTTATCCGTCTTAACATTTCTCAAACAACAATGATTTAGATTTTACAACAAACATTAAGAAGAGAAAAGAAACAAAACAGGAATTAAAGAACAGAAGTTTACATAAACTTTTTTCCCGATCTATAAATCTGCGCTTGGAAACATTTCTTGACTCTTTCAGGGTTACACCCGATAATGAGTATATAGCCTCAAACGCTTCCATTATTCGTTTGCAACATCATTAAATTGAGAATTGGCTCTAATCAACAGATAAGCACAACAAACAACATAAATTTTGATCCATTTTTTATTCAACAACCCATGGAGCCCGGAATAGCCTGGAGTGAAGGTTGACCTGAGGTCAGTCTGAGCTATGTTGTTGATATTGTTCTCCTGATCTAATTAGTGATAACTATGTCTGCTTATCGACTATAAAGAGCTGGACATATTTATATTTACAGGTTTAGTCTATACAAACATTGGACATCATGCTCATAAAGTAAATAAATCCGCTTCATTTATTTTCTCTTTTCACGGACTTAAATCCTCAAATCCAAACAATCCAGCAAGTCTATTAAATACTAATTCCTACTGATTATCACCAGTTATTTATAGTTTTTAGAGTAAACGTTGGTCCAATTATTGGCTTATGAAGGAGATAAATGAAAGTGATGGAAAATAAACATTGATTTAGTTTGTTTATTTGTTATAAATGGCCTCTAGGGGTTCTACAGGGCGCACTACTGTGCTCTATTATATTTACACTGATTGACAGTAATAATCCAAAACACTAGATCGCACTTAACCTCGCAGAATCCTATCTATTGATAGTCTTCTCTACCGCCCTCACAACAGATGGCACGGGTCTGGATCACCTAAATAAAAATAATGTTGTGCGGTGGCAATCCAATCTGACCGACACTTATATGGTCAAGTGCATGTCCTTTTATATTCTTTTATTAATTAATCCTTTTCTGTGGTTCTATAATGAACTGGTTGGTTTTCTTTAAATTACATATACTGTATATGTATTCGGTTTATTAAAAAATCTTACTACTTTTTTGTTTTGTTTCTTGATTTCCTTCTTTGATAATCAAGATATTAAGAAAACAAATAATAGAGTTTTAGTTATGTTTATATTCGAAGCTAAAGCAATAATATGATAACGAACAGGAAAAATAAAACGCCATAATAAGATGTTTATTAAATCTGTAACAAATGAAATAACTATAGTATTAATATTTGATCAACCCTTCATTCGAATATGGCGGCAAGGTAGGATATACCACATAACGTAGCGCAGTAATCATCAGACATAGCGCGAGGTGACGTCCGACAAGTTACGGATGTTTTAAAACAGTTTACCCGAAACTCATTACATTAGTACTCGCCAGCTCGTAATTATTTTCTTGGAAGTTCAGATATATTACCAACAGAAAGTAGCACATTTATAGTTCCTACTCCCAATAGAACACATGTTCAATATTTAATTTGCTATGGCATAGGCTATATAATATATTATAATAAAATATACGAAACCCTAAAACAAATTATCACATGTTATTTATGAAATGACCTGACCGCGTCGGTTTCGCAATATTTTCCATCTACAGTTTCATTGTGGATATCTTAACCATTGTCATAGTACACGTCTGGACGTAACTACTCGATATAAAAAGTGTTACATCTCATTAAATATTTACAAGGAGAATATGTTGAACGGTAAAATTAACTTATGTGTAGCTGGAAGGAATGGAAGGATATGTGTAGTTAACTGAAGATGTTCTAATTGATCCATGGCATCAGGTGGCGTCAACATGATAAAGGTGACAGAAGAGACAAACTGTTATTGAATCTATAGAAATACTACGTCTGTATAGTTTATTGTTATTGTCTGAATGTCCATCTTACTTTTCAATAATTTCTAGTATGATGGTAAATATTTCATAATTATTTTTTTCTTTAAATTTTAACTTTTCTATAAAAGAAAAAGGTGCATTTTCGTCTGACAAATTGCCTTTGACGTACATATATTATTCAGCGTTCTAAATTCATTACGAATTCTTGCTATTAACCGTTTAGAATCACAGCTACATGGTGGACATATATTGTCTACAAGGTCTATGTTAACCGAACATCTGATACCGTTTATTGCGTTTTTCCTTACAATCGTTCGATTGCGTGTTTTCATTTTACAACTAATAGACAGTTCCCATCTACAAAGGATCTTAGGATAGCGCGGACTTCCAGTCCATCTCGCCAACAAAGAATTCTTAGCTATGGATAGTACTATCATTGTTTTTCCCATCTCGTGTACGACACCCCCGTCACCTTACAGCTAACCGGCCCAATGGTTTGGACATACATGTATTTCAAAAGTCGAATGCTACTGGGTAAAAGATGAGTTATTAGTAACTAGAAGAGTTACTAGTTCAGTGAATCAACAAAACTGTACTACAACAGTTTATCTCCCCAAATAAGAAGTGGCAGTATGCAACCCAGGCTCTAGCAAACTAATTTCCTATGCACAGTTATCTAGAACGCTACTTGTGTTCGCATGACACCCATCGCTTCTAGCAGAATACAGCAATAGATAGATTCCAACTGGATACAACTGACCGAAAATGACATGTCGAGATTTTTACATTCGTTTTTGTTTATTTATAAAATTGTTCCATTAATTCTGTGTGGTTGTTCATTAACGATATGTTATCTAAGTTAAACTAAGCATGATAAATCTGTTCAAATGAATCGGTTCAAATTAAACCAGAGTGTAAAAATATGTTCAATAATCCTTCCCGGGGGTATAGGAACATTTATAACGGTAAATTGCATGTTTACCGTCAACTACTGCTACTTACGATCATCATTCACAGTCGTCAATCTGATGCTTGATACCAAGTTAAGTTTATTGATAAAAGTAAATCTAGTTAAATCACTTTTAATGTGTGACTGATGTTAACTTGGTCACTTTCCGCATCGATAAGCCTGATACTAATCGATTTTATGCCTTCATTTACATTCACAAAACGTAGAGAGTGGTTTTATAAAGTAACTTGCAGTTTCTAGGCATGTAGTCAGTGCTGTCATTGATAAGACCAGGAGATTAAAGTCAGGAATTTACCAGTTGACGAGATAAAGATGCCAGAGAAAATAACGCAATCTTTTTTAAAAGATGAAAACCATATTGAAAAGGTCAGAATTGATGCAGTGATTCTTGATTTAAATCGTGTCTTTAAACTAGATATCAAATGGTTTTAAAAAAGTATAAAAAATTGACATTTTGTTTTGAATTTGAAAAAAACATTTAAATCACCCTTGCAAGGCACATTGAAAAATATTTAGAAAAAATTTATGCATGTCTCAAATGACCTCCCCTCCCAGCGGCAAACAAACAAGGAAAGCCCTCGGTGGCTTAAACATGCCCGGGATGACCATTACAGCTCCGTCAACAAACAATGGTGTCTTAAAACGCATCGCTGTACGTCCCAAAAAGGCCTGGTAAATACGCATGGTCACCATTAAATCCCTAAAGTAAACGTGGTGTGTACCCCTTTAAATACTTTAGATTACATGTTGCAGTCAAGGAAGTAATTTGTCAAACCCGGGGTGAAGAAAATTCAATTGATCTTCCTATTTGTAGTCGAAAAGTACTATATAAATTGACCAACTAGAAAACTGGGTGGACACTTTGTTTACATCTGGGAGTGGGTATCCTCATGACACTGCATTGAAATGCCCATGGCAGAACAGCAAACATAAATTGGTATGTTAGAACTTACCTTCAGAAGATCTCAAATATATATTCCAAGATATTGTTTGACGCATCTGATTACAGTTCTTTTAATATTAGTTCATCAAAACACCTATCAATGTCCGGAAAAACGTACATTTCATTCCTCAAGATTACTGTAGTTGACACTGGCGTCAGCTAAATGATATAAGAGTTCAAAGGAACCCCCGCCGTGGATAGTTGGGTTTCACGACTCTCCTCACACTTTAGTAAATAACAACAACAATCTGTCTTACGTTGTAAGGTAAATCGGATGACACTCTTCACTGTAAGAATAACTTTGTACAAATTTCAGTTGATTTGTGCACATGCAAAGACTAAAACCCGCCCTACTTCATCACAATAACACATGTGAAGGAATTTAATTCAGTATCTTCTCAGTCATCTTATAATACGCTGGTCATATTACACTGGCCAACTATCTGTTGGAGAAAAAATAATGATAGTGAAACCATAACGTTACTGGACTGTAAACGCCACTACGATCGATCTCCGCAGAACTGATTCTATTCCATTTCACACAGGCAGATATCCACGACCAGTGTAATCTCTAATACCTCTAAGCTTTACTGTGGTATTGCCGATACCCGCGTGTCATCGGTTCCTCATTTCTCCCCGTTCTTTTTGCCTCCTGTGCGGTGAGGAGGAATAACGCGAGTTGTCCATTGCTCTCAACACGACCGCGAGGAAACGTTCGGGGGGTAATTGCAATAATCACGTGACAGACCAGCTTTTCTTCGATTATTTGATGGTTAGTATTCTAGTTTACTCGTTCAAGGAGTCGAGGCCTCTTTTACTTTTTTCACTCACCGTATGATCTTATTGTGTTACTAATGCACTCCGGTTTTAGAGCAAATAGCAAGCCACCAGCCCATGAAATTTGTTCATTAATAAGTTAGAATGGAAAAACCAATGCTCCGCAAAGTGAATGCCGTGTTTATTTATAAAAGCTAATTACTTTATCATTTAAAAAAATTAAATATTTATTTTAGCCGGGTTAACTTAATTGAGCATCATCAAGGATTAACAATCCACTCGTCAGTCTAAAGAGACTTGATCTTTCATCAAACAAAATGTAGTTTGGTTCTAATTGTATTAACTCAGCATGGTAGCGAGGTGCGGGCGCGAGTACACAGCCAATGGTATCTCTAGAGAGTTCCGTGGGTGAGAATATTGTTTATAAACTGACTGTAAATATGTTTCTTGTAGTATATCATGAGCAAAAGAGTCCACAAACTACGTGAGAACATTTACTTCTTTAGAGGCCCCCTAGACTACTTCGCAGTCCAAAGATTCTTATTAGTATTGGAGAGTGTTTGAAAATTAAAATTATCAATAGAAATTATCAGGCACTGTTTCCCATCTACTTTTTTTGAATAATTAATAATCAAGAAAACCATCTCATAAATCAGCTTTACATACAAGGTATTATAATCTTTACAATATTCCCACACAATTAATGATGTCTTTTAATACCCTTCATCAATAATGGTTGATACAAGTTATTAATGAGCAACAAAGCCATCAAATAAATCACCATTACATACATAGTTTATAATCGTTCTGTAAGTCGATCAGATGTCTCATTAACCGATCATAGGCATTATAATGAATCTTAACTAGAACCATACAGTAGCGATGCATCATAAAGATGATGGAGGGGATAACTCACTTCAAAGAGACCGGTCACTTAACGGCCATTAAAGGATAAAGCATCACGTTCGTTTTTACTGATTATAAGAATTAAAAGACTGGGGGAAACCCTACATGCATTGTTTGTTGGTTCCTAAATTCAAAGACAATTGGAGTGAGCTAAGTAAAGTGACTAGTGTGAAAGCGGTGGGTGTTCTTGGAAGGGTGGGGTGGCAGGGTTTTCTCATTTAATAATGTGAAGACAGACATGCACAGACGATAATAATATCCATGTTGGTAGATATTGAGAATAGCGTTCAGCACTAACAGCCAATTCTTTGGTTTAGTACTTTGCTTTTACGCGGTTATTTATAAGGTTTGGTATCGGGGTAGGAGTGAATTACACTAGGTGAGAAAGAATATACTAACAGTTTGCACCACCCACTGGAGTGGTGGTACCTTGAGTTTTATTTTAAATCGGCTGTTCTGTGTGTCAACACTGTCTTGTCTATATTTTGTAAAGAATCTTTCCTGTCTGTGTTGCTGGCTGATTTCTATTATATCTTCTTGCAATGGCCATGCAATGCTTTATCATATTTTTATACTTAGATATAATATTATGTCTCACATTTTAAATTTAGTGTTGCCTATGGCTTAGAAACATGGTGCAACTTTAGCATAAGGTGATATCAGATACCTTAGTGGTAGTTTACTTTAACATAGAGGTGGCAAATCGGCTTTTGCTGGGTATTAAATGTCGTGATTTTGTAGTTTATAATAAGGTACATTTCGATGTAGGTGTCAAATCCCAAACTTGAGGCCAATTAGTCAATCGTATCACTTTGGATTAAGTTGTGATGTTTGGTTGGCGTAAATCGCTGAACTTCAGTTCATGGGTCTTCCATCGACACGAGTAAGATTTTGTTAGTGTTAACTACAATGGAATACAGCCACCTGGCCAGCTTTTTGGGATTTATGCACCCACATTTTAACGTTGTCGTATATTGTCCACAACTTACCAATCCCTGACAAAAACTTTCAGAGTTATTCTCCTTGATTACGAAATATTTTGACAATAACTTTCAGAGTTATTCCCCCTGATTACGAAATATTCTTAACAGCTCAAAGGTCACAATTATCATTATATCTTTTCTGAATTTTAATAGATAGTTCAGCTTGGATGAAACATGACTTGCCATTGTTGCCAGTTTTTGACAATAACTCATCGAGTCGTGCCCTTTGTTACGAAATCGTGTTTAAGAACATTAAATGAACATCGCTTATCCCAGAATCTTATCATATTTGTTCAGCCTTTGAAGGAAAGAAATGCAGTCTACAATTTTACTTTAAATACTCTTGGAGTTAAACTCACTTTATTTGCATTTTGGACAGACTTAACTGTATGACAACTATTAGCTGTTGTCTTGGGGTTAATTTGGGGGTGAAGCCAATGAGTTCCATGTTCTTATCCCAATCTATAGCATCTTGGTCATAATGGACGTTTCTCGCATTATCTGTAAACTCCCTATAAAATATTCTCAAATAAACAAAAGTAGACATTATGGCACAGGGCAATTGGCCACTTTAAATATTATAACTCCAATCCATTTTTATTTGTCTGATAAAAATCCGACGGACGGAAGTTTGTAAAACGTCACGGAGCCATAAAGACAAAAATAGTATGTAAAACGTCACGGAGCCATAAACACAAAAATAGTGAAAATATGAATACTTGCTAAATCCACATGTAACCAAATTGTGACTAAATTAGTAGGCCTATCAACCCGCGTCAGATGAAATCCTACTTTGCTTGCCATTTTCAATCACGAGGACATATTTTATAACACCTCTTAGAATGTTCCGAGAGCTTTACTTAACTCGTGTTCGTTTGATTAAGTGACCACTGACGCCGAGAGAAGAATGCATGAGGTTACTTGGCTTTTAGCCTTTCCGATTTCGGTGGCTTTAAGGCTATTGACCATAGGTCAGAGAAGCCGTAATAGTCAAAATGATTAACAAGCTCGCGTAATAGCTTCCCTTTATGTCCAGTATCGATTTCCAGAGTGGTCAGTTGGTCTTCTCTATTGTCCTGAAACCTTTCAGGTATCGGGAGAAAATATGATTTGCCGTGGGCTTCCTGTGTTTAATACCGCGTATTTGTTGTTCCGCTGTGTTATATAATACCATAACCCACCACAAACAACTATTCACAGTATTTATTACCATCCTGAAACAGCTTAATTCCACCAATTATATGTGCAATTTATTCTATATAAGCTTATTTATATGATTACCGTCTTGGCGTATAATTTACGGTCGTATAAATAGAAAATGCTGAAAGTTACTATTTACGGCAGAAAAGATTGTTTGTTCATTTAGTAAATTATACACATGGAAAGGAATGAATAATAATTAACTTTACATAGTACTATAAAGCTTTTTTCGATTTCATTATACATTTTTGGACAAAAAGGAGAGAAAAGCCCATAAAATAGGGAATATATAAAAGAATTTGACATATTTTGTAGTTAAATATATATTCGTCACGTAAGAACCGATGCCACAGACCACAATGAGTGATCTATTAAGACATTTAACTAAATATCAACCAAACGAAAACAGCCAACAATGTCTGTATACTCTCCTAAAATAGACGGTTTGTAAACTAATAAATCTCAACACATGATCGCAGCATCAATTTAAAAGAAAATTCGTATCCTTGAAAAGCCAAAAGACCTTCTTGGGGTAATTCATGTTCTTTTAAAAAGAAAAAGCAGAAAGTTACGATTTAGCTTATACATAAAGAAATAAAAGATGACGTAGAATTTCCAATATATTTAGACTGTCCCGCAAACAATGACGTAAGCCGAATATAAAATTAAGCTTATTATTAAAAGATTTACAATGAAAATTATTGAACATATAGACAAAGATACAGCCATTGGCGTGTGTACAACATCTCTCTTGTGTTGGCGTTTTAACGTCGCTGTTATGCTCCTCGATCAACATATCGGAATTTACCGCCGTGAATTAAAACCCAATCACTGTCGCTGATTTCCGTTAATGCGGGCCCTGTGTTGCCAGTGACATTTCCTATCAGTCGGAAAAAATGTTCAGTACTGTACAGTAAGAGAGAGATATTAAATTTAGTATGTAACAAAACCAATAAAATAATTCATTAAAACGTCGTTGGCTGGTTATATCACTATTTGTTTGATGTTTTCAACCACTCTCTTCCCAACGTAATGCCCCGTTCAGACGCTTAATTTTAAACCAGTTCAAAATCGCAGGGGTTTTTAAGACAGGACCGTGTTGCCTTCACGCATACTATAATCCAAACCAGTTTTAACAATTCTGACCTCTTCGGTCGGGGGTTAGAATTAATTGCGCATGGGTAGCTTCATATTCTCTATTCGGTTCTTGCACACATCTGCTGACTTTTGTACCTATTTTACTGATTGATAAAAATATAAAATACTAGAATATGAGAAAATGGGGATTTATGTAAAATGCTTACGTGTGTCGAATCAAAAAAAATATCGATTCTGGAAAGGAAATTTTGCATGTAGCCTGTACATGTGACGGCATTATATTCTCAAATGGTGTTACTTTGAAATAAGATATGGGTGACATCCTCTCCCCACACAGAAATGAGAAAGGGTGTTTCCTTATGTGCCCAATTCACCCCTCGATTATTTTTAATTGCCGCTTTCGATAACACTGACACTGCATGACGCTGCCATTTTGCCAGGAATGTAACTTATTGATTACTGCGCTAGTCCAAAGTGAGCTGGAGCCGGGGGTTTAAAGCCAACCCGTTCAGACGGCCATGATGAACCAGTTTAAAATACAAAGCCACCTCGAAGACAA